CCGTACATTAGTACGGTATCCGGCCAAACTGGCTGTTCTGTCCGGCTATCGGGTTAGGCGCCCTGGCAACCCTCGTAGGTTTGCACAGTGTACCTGATTGGGGAGAGGCTTCTCCTTCCCGCGAGTGGGGACCAGATCGCCAGAAGGTCTACCAACTGGGAGTGCGTGGCCCGGTGACTCGGAAGCGGTTTCTTAGGTTCCACTCCCAACTGAGGGTGTGCCGTGGGGTTTTTAAGTGGAAGGCCTCTGAGGACTCATTAAAATGGATTTCCGTCGGATGTGTCCACGGAGGAGAGTCCCATATAACCTCGCCGCTTGTCAGACGGCGGGGTATACGTCAAGCGTTTTACCCACAGCAAAAATTATTGCATAGTGTACAATTATTGGCAGCCCTATGACACAAGGTCAGCTGTTAGCTAAGGTGGCTTCGCTCCAGTGCGTATAGATCTTCGGTATCGTTGTAATATGAATGATTCTGAGTAATTTAAGAAAACTATTGTGTGCGTAATCCAGATCCGGGTTTTCCAATCAATGCATTATCAACCTACTAAGAGCTCAAACACTTTTGTCTTTCGCAGTGAATCTGATTTTACTGTGTAAAATGTTTGTCATATATATGTTATGTATGTGTGTGTATGTATGTATTTATGTTATTAAATGTATTTTTGAATGAGAATACATAGGTTTTATGTAAATTCGTATGTACAGATGTGACTAGTTACTCCAAGCCATATAACACCCCAAGCTACAGTCTATGTATTACTTTTTGTACGCACGGTTGTCTGGAAGAAATCTCTTTTGGCGATAAGACCGCCAATTATAATGTTTTTGTTTAGTTTATTGATTGTTAATGTAATTATGTATTTGGTGTTATAGTAAAGTGTTAATCTATCTATCTATCATTATAAACAACATAAATTTAAATGTAAAACAACCGATTTAAAACGTTTTAAACTAAATGTTGCCGTTTTAAACCCCAAATAAATCGTTTGAAACGGTTGAAAACTGGCATACAAAAATAAAAGAACTATGTTTTTTAACTCTTCATTATGCTCAATTTTTGGTCACCTGAAGTCATGTTTTTTTTACTTACCTATAAAGAAAATCAATAGAAAGTACCTACGTACATTACCTAGGTACCACGAAAACTTAAGTAAGTATGTAAGGTACCTTCATACTTAAGCACTTATTTATTATACATACTAGTGGCCCGCCCGCGCTTCGCTTCGGTGTAGAGCTGTAGTATAGACTATAGTTTTTGTTCTCAGGCTTGTATTATACACAATGACATTCTTCTAATACCCAATTACAATAGGCACGCGCCATCAGGCGCCCCGCCCGGTAGCGTCGGAACCGCTATGTCCCTGCTTTTTAAATCTGTAATATCTTCGAAAATATTCATTTAAATTAAATAGCCAAATTGGTCTATATTAAATGCACAATGTATTTAAGGTACTTAATTGGATAAGGAAGAATGTTATATTGCTGAAAATCGCTTAGTAAATAATCTATTATTTCTCGTAAAAAGTATTGGATATAAATGGTTATTGTGGGTTATCCCTAAGAGATAGACAGATACCATGGCGGACTTTTTTGTAGACATTTTTAAGGTATACAATACTGTAGTACATTATTTTGATCGATCTCGTAGGGTTCAGCCAGCGTTTGCAATGTAAGCGTAAAAAACTGTGTTTATTTACGACCTTACATTAAAAACCTCTAAAATTATCAGTGTTTCCAACCGTTACACAAAAATAATCCTTATAGCATGATTCAGTATTCACGTGCGACGGCGCGATGGCTTATTTCATGTATAAGTTTGGTGTTTATATACCGATTTCTATGATTCTTTTTTTATTGAATAGGTAATAATGTTAACTTTTTTAAATTAGGGATGAGTGAGAGTATTATAAACGTAAGAGTAAACAAATATAATCAGAATGCTCCGAACTGCTAAGCTATCAGGAGTTACACGTGTTATTGTGAGTCAACCATAAAAGATAGACATATGCTGTTGCGGGATATTTTTTAGACAATTTTATGTAAAATATTTCCGTCATACATGATTTCTATGTAACTTTAACCATTAAGGCTGCACACGCGACGGAAGCTTAAAAAATGGAGTAACTTCTCCCGTTTTCCCAGCATTTCCCTTCACTACTCTGCTCCTATTGATTGTAGCGTGATGAAAAGTATACTATAACCTGCCCAGGAGTATGAAGAATAATTGTACCAAGTTTCGTTAAAATCCGTCGAGTAGTTTTTGTTTCTATAAGGAACATACACACAGACAGACAGACAGACAAAAAATTTACTGATTGCATTTTTGGCATCAGTATCGATCACTAATCACCCCCTGATAGTTATTTTGAAAATATATTTCATGTACAGAATTGACCTCTCTACAGATTTATTATAAGTATAGATAATAAAAAAATGGGTGCGTGTACTTATGTAGGCGCGTGAGAAGTTATCCTTCTTTGGCATCGTTTAAAATTAGTTTTTAATTGCATGCAAATAATTAATTACAATAAATTAATAAAAAGTCTGGAAAAGGACACAGTCAATAAAGTTCAGTTTTAATTTGAAAAAATAAATAAATAATCAAAATATTCAATTAAAATCGCTACTGAATATAATTTATTAGAACATATGTGATTTGCACTTGTATGAAACTCAAACACGTATTCCGAATAAACTAGAAACATGTGGTTTTTGGTTCTACTACACCAATGGTCAAGAGATGGCGCTGTAGTCTCCTGAATCGCGCTTTGGTTCCGTTGTTCCAGATTAATAAATACTTTTGATATTATAAATATGAATACCTATAACTGTTACTTTATTACAAAAAATAAAGATGTGGTTTTTGGTTCTACTACACCAATGGTCAAGAGATGGCGCTGTAGTCTCCTGAATCGCGCTATGGTTCCGTTGTTCCAGATTAATAAATACTTTTGATATGCCTTCACAATGCAGTCGTTAGCACCCACTAAATAGAGATTCTATTTCTATTTTGTTGGTAGATTTTCTTAATGTGCGGTAAACACAAAAGTAACAGCATGAAGTTGGTCGCTTTAGCGACCAACTTCATGGTCGCTTTAGCGACCAACTTCATGCTGTTACTTTTGTGTTACAGTGATGCGCGCGCATCTTAAAATTTCACTCTCATCATTTTTTCATAACGCGCCTAAAGAAGTATAACTTCAATAACACACACTAGATTAAAATAAAAGTTTTAAACGGTTTTTTTCGTTTTAAACGGATTGGTTTAATTGGTTTTAAACCAGCCTTACATCTATAATCAGGCTTATTTTCTGACGGATTTAGAGGTTTTTCATATTCATAATGCGTATTGTTGAAAAGCTGCATTCTTTTGACGGCCAACTTGACTTAGTAGTTAGTGTTCCTAACCGCAAATCTAGCGGTCACCTGGTTCGAATTCCGGTGGGGGTAAATGTGTGTATAATGAACACGTGAATTTTCTTAACTATCATGCATTTCGCAGATGGTTTGTGCGTTTAGTCTACGATCGTGGAAGTTAAGCAGCTTTCACAATGACCGGTTATCGGATGGGTGACTAAAAACTTATAATGTCGACCTCCACTGTGCTTCAAAGGCTCGTTAAGCCGTTGGTCCTGGCTGCATCAGCAGTCGTTAGCACCCACAGTGGGGACATAAATAGGCTGATGATGATACGTTGTCTAGCACCCATAGTCAGGGCCGGATTCAAGTATTTTTTATTAAATTAAGTATGTGTATAAAGGATAGAAAAATAAAACCACAGCGTTCACCTTGAGTAACCACAGAAAAAAGCGTTGTCTTTAATTACCACCAAATTAAGTTTACAAATATATTCAAAAACACCTTCAATAAAAAAGTTAATCCAGTTCACCTCTAGCTCAACAGATGGCGTTAGTAGTACACAAAACTTTAATTAGATACGTTTTTAATAATTTTTAAAAGATTTTAACAAATAATTATTAATATTTTCTTTTCCTAACCTAATAATCAAAGCACAGACTCAGAAATGCTGTAGGCGATGTGTATATAATAGTATTAATTAATTTGATTAAATAACTTATGTAAATTTGAATGCTATGGTCTATAGCTGAATAATGAAACTTACAGTTTGGTAATGTGTAACTATTTGTGACCTTGATTACCCTGTTCAAACGCAAATAAAGGTTATTTTATTCTATTCAAGGCACGGCAGGCGGGGCTGTGGTCCAGGGGCCACAACCGAAATAATAACCTAATTTCGGAGCTACACTCTGGGTTGGGCAAATCCGTAACTGGCCCCAGGTGCCAGAATTTAAAATACGCACTCGTTATGGGCCTCCACAACTTCGCCTGCTTTCGTTCTGTCTGGCTCGACTTTCACATGTGCTTATAAAAGCTTAAATTGAGTGCTATTAAATAAAACTAGTTTTAACGGGTTAATGCACAAACTTTATTTATTGACGTTTCGCAGCCTTTTCAGGTTTGCATCGTCAGAATAATGATTTTTTATTTACTTTGTCGAGTTACCTTCGAAAGACTTTATTGAGCGTTCAGATATATCATTGGAAAAATTTTAAAATTTTATTGTCTATGTATGAATTTATTAGTTAATAAAATACTTTATTTAAAATTCTTTTTTGTAATTTTGAGTTTATTTATTTGACCATAACTACCGTAAACTACCACCGGTTCCAAAATTGGGAGACCTTTCTGAGAAGAACCGGCGTAACAAACTCGGAGAGGCTTTCTATCTCCTTCTAATGTTAAATCATGCAAACAAAAAGAACTAATAGTATTTGTTGTCTTGCAGTGTGTGCTCGGGTTGGGATTTTATCTCTTGTATAATGGGTCGTCTATTAACCCGTTAAAACTAGTTTTATTTAATGAGTGATGTGCGTGAAAACCTAAGAAATATGAGTAATTGAATTTTGTTTTTTTTACTTAGTTTGGTGCTAAATTATTGTTGAGCAAGTGTCCATCATTTAACGTTTTTGTTATAGAGGCAAGGACTGCCGCAGCAACCTGTACCTCCTACCAACTGGCGAGATAGTTTACTTCGTGGCGGCTGTGGTCGTCCTATTCAACGTGGATGAGCAATGCCAGCGTCACTACACTGGCCATACGGACGACGTCAAGTGTCTGGCCGTGCACCCTAACAAGCTCATCATAGCTAGTGGACAGTGCGCGGGTCATGACCGGCTAGACGCTAGGGTGAGTAGAAAAAGTATTGTTAGCTACTATACAAGTCATACGGTTGATATATAACCGAAATGCGAAGTTCATTATTACATAGCAGTTCCGTAATAACATTAGTATGCCTGCCTGAAACCTTGACTGAGTTGAATTTATTGTCACGAATAGTTTTGGTACTCTTAAGCATTGCAGAAATATTACGCATTAGTAAATATACCTTTGAAAACAAACTGCGAAGCTTTTTATTAGAACAGGCGTTTCGTTGAGTGGTTTGTCGTCATTATTTTGTATTTATTATGGAAGTATGTATGTATTTGTGTATTTTTTTATATATATTCACTTATGTTTGTGTATATTTATTATTTTTATAATTTTTCTTTCAATGTGATTTCCACCTCAGTTGTGCACCCTATCACTAATAATCTCCACAACATCCTATGGTTGACTGGTAGAGAAAGCCTACGGCATTAAGTCCGCCATTGTTCATTTGTGCATAAAGAATAAATAAAATAAAATATTATTTATCGTTAATCGTCAAAAAAGGAAGTTCATGTGTATTCAGAAGATTCCTAAAAACTTTGGCATAATCATTCTTAACACATTCTACCTAACTTTATAGTCTGACGATATTGTTTTCAATAATTTCTAAAATGTTTGTTTCCTATTTTCAATTACAAAACTGATGCAGCCGAATTGATTCCCTCTCTCTTCTCTCTCTCTCTCTGAGCATTCTAACTCCATAGTAAGAGAATTCTCTGTTTTCAGAGCCTTTCAGAATTTACTTACTTCTTAATTTACCCGGATGATCTCCGTTTCTTTTCCAATTCCAAAACATTGCATTACTGATCCTTCTTCTTTCCTCTCACACATTCAACATTACTCACAAATGATATCTCCCATTGTTACTTCGTAATCCAGCCACACGTGCGCGTATGGAACAGCGTATCCTTGGCCACTCTAGCAGTGGTGGGAGCAGGACAGATGGAGCGTGCGGTCGCCTGTCTCACCTTTTCTCGCGCGGACGGCGGCGCGCTGCTCGCTGCCGTCGACGACGGGCCAGACCACACCCTCTCCGTCTGGGAGTGGCAGCGAGATAAAGGGCACTGTCTGGCCGAGACCAAGGTAACGTAGATATGTGTACTGCTATAATGACGTATTACTGATCACTTTATCAGGGGACAGGACATGACGAACTGGACCACACGCTCTCCGTCTGGGAGTGGCAGCGAGATAAAGGGCACTGTCTGGCCGAGACCAAGGTAACGTGGCTATGTGTACTGCTATAATGTAGGATAATGACGTATTACTGATCACTTTAGCAAGGGGCAGGACACATCACGAGCTGGACCACACACTGTCCGTGTGAGAGTGGCAGTGGACTATCTAGATGAGACTAAGGTATCTACTGCTATAACCTGCGCGTTTGGAACAGCCTCTTTAGTTGCATATTTAGGTCACGTGCTTAGGTACCACAGATATGAGGTTCTTCAGTCAATAATGATGGGTGAAGTAGCCGGAGGTACAGCTATAGATCTGAAGAGCTTTTCAGCCTCGCCGAAGATCAGGTGAAATATGCGGTGCTGACTGCCAGCTTTCACTAGTTGGAGAGGCACTCAAAGAAGAAGATGGAATAGCGTATCCCACTCCGGCAGTAGTGGGGGCGGGACAAGGGGCACTGTCTGCCGGAGACCAAGGTATCTACTGATGATGAACGCCCTATTTAGGTCATGTGCTTAGGAACCACTGATACGAAGTTCTTCAGTCAATAATGATGGGTGAAGTGGCCGGAGGAAGAGCTGTTGGAAGAAGGAAGAAATCGTGGCTGCGCAATATCTGGAGAGCTTTTTAGCCTCGCCGTAGACCAGGTGAAATATGCGGGGCTGACTGCCAGCCTTCACTAGTTGGAGAGGCACTCAAAGAAGAAGATGGAACAGCGTATCCCCGGCCACTCTGGCAGTAGTGGGGGCGGGACAATGGGCACTGTCTGGCGGAGACCAAGGTATAAGAATACACGTAGAGAATGGACTGAACAATACTATATCAACTACACTACAGATCAGTGTAGCCAGGTCTACCGATTTTACAGGAGATCTCCTGTTTTTCTGAAAGTTCTACTGTTCTTAGAATACGATTATATTTTTTAAATTGCATGTTGAGTTGCGTTATCCGCCATTAATAATGTAGCTAACCTTAATTATTATAAAATAAATGTTACTGTTTAAAAAAAACGAGCTCGGAGGGGCGGCAGAAGATGCCAATAATTGGTACATTATTTATCATACTGTAAATAGCCTATTTTTTATGCTGCCTAAGACGTTCGACGTTATATAAAGAGCTTAAGTATGATGGGAGTACTTCACAAGGAGAAAGGTTGCCACCCCCCTTATGATATTCTGACCGTTCGAGTAAATCCCAAAATCCCCGCTTGGGCTCCCCAATAGGTCCCCTACTATAAGTGTATGTAATTTAATGCAAACACGAAGGTGATCGAAATAACAACATCTTAAATTGTTTCTGCTAACAAATAAAAAATGTGTGCGTGTACTAGTGTACACACGTAAGAAGTGAAACTTCTTTATGGCCTTATTTTTTTCGAAAAATGATCTACATGCAACTTTCCAGAAATATATATATAGGCGTGCGCTAAGATTTTTCAAAAACTCACCCACTAAAGGGGTATAACTACACCTTACCTTACCTTACCTTACCTTACCTTACCTTACCTTACCTTACCTTACCTTACCTTACCTTACCTTACCTTACCTTACCTTGTGTGAAACACGAATATTTGTTGTCGATACTTTTTTTTTTTTTAAAGTTGACAGAAGAAGCAATTGTTCGGATGAGGTAAATACTGCTCTTTTAAAAAAAAGATGGCGCGTAACCAAAAAACGTGACGCGTAACCGAATAAAATGTGACGGTAAATTTTTTTCCAACGCCGATAAAGAAGTTTCACTTCAAAAATATAAATGTGTATCCTCATTGATTATTATCACCCCCAGTGTTCAGTGGACACAGTAGTGGCTGCCGAGTTCCATCCCCTGGACCGCAACCAGATCGTGACATGCGGCAAGAACCACATCGCCTTCTGGACCCTGGACCAGACCAATATGCTGTACAAGCGGCTAGGAATATTCGACTCCAGAGACAAGCCCAAATACGTCACGTGCCTTGGTTTCAACCAGGATGGTGAGTAACAAACATTTACTAACATATTGCTGACGAAAAAGTGACGTTCTTCAAGAATCACATAGTGGTCTAGACTCTGGACCAAACCAATATTGACCACTTCCGTGGCCGAGTGGTATGTACTCCGGGTTTCATGGTATCGCCAACTCGAGAGGTCCCGGGTTCTAATCCCGGTGGGGGAAGGTGTTTGTGTGATGAATACGAGCATTTGTGCTCCAGTCATGGATGTTTAATATGTATTTTCTATATAAATATACTTATATATGTATCACTATATGTATTTTATCCGTTACCCTAGTATCTCATAACACAAGCCTATAGTGCTTACTTTGGGTCTAGGCTTTAATTTATCTTTTTTTATATTAATGTTTCATATTATTTTTGTCAGAAATTGGCATTATTATAATAATTCTATTTGCTGTGACAGGGTCCATAATCTGATCTGTAAATATTTTGTACACCTGTTGTAGGTTATTCAGGTGGTGTGGTTATTGAGAACAGTTTTAACTGACTCGCTTCGCAAAAACGCGTGTTGTCTAGTAAGAACTAGTATTAACTCATATTCCATTTTGAGCATTAGTCAATTCTAGTTTTAACAAAGACCTGTGCCGTATTTGACCTATTGGAGGCCCTGGGCATATTAGGATAATGGGGCCCCTATGACTTCCGTTTGGTGATTTAACAGGAACTAGTACGCAATGTATAGCGCAGCGGGCTACTGTGGCGCTACGCAAAGAATGTGCCTGTGTGTATGTGTGTGCGTGTGTTTAAGTGCGTCGATAAAAAAGTTTCTAAATAAAGTTTTGAAAATATTAATGTGTATATTTTGAAAAAAGTATTTTGGCTTTGACTTTCAATATCTCCATAACCATAAATTTCCCAGGTATGAAAAGAAAGATTGATGATCCAAAAGAAAGAAATTATCGCCATGGTGTGGAGAATACGTGACCTTCGACTTCGTTATCGGTTTTTTTACACCCTGTATTATAATAAACCAGCCAAGCCGAAATACGTCACGTGTCTAGGCCACTTCTCAACAATTTTTGTATTGGCCCACCAGGCGACGTCCTATCCGGGGATTCGTCCGGCAACATAATCGTTTGGGCCCGCGGGACCAACACGGCCAGCCGGGTGGTGCGGGGCGTACATTCCGGGGCCGTATTCTCCGTCTGTTGCCTTAAAGACGGACGCGTGCTAACTGCAGGCGGGAAGGACGGACGAATAGTCGCCTTCGACGCGGAGATGAACGCCACGGGATTGGAGGCGGTGGTGAGTATAAATATCTATCTCTCTTTCAACCTCTCTCTCTCTCTCTCTCTCTCTCTTTCTCTCTCTCTCTCCTCAGTCTCTCCCCCTCTCTCTCCCTCTTACAGCCTTTATATATATCTCTCTCTCCCTCTTACAGCGTCTATATCTCTCTCTCTCTCCCTCTCCTCAGTCTCTCCCCCTCTCTCTCCCTCTTACAGCCTCTATATCTCTCTCTCCCTCTCCTCAGTCTTTCCCCCTCTCTCTCCCTCTCATTCACTCTCTTTCTTTGTCTCTCAGCCTGTGTCTACAAATTATGCCACCTGTCACGATATTGTACGACCTGGAGCCATGTTTTCCGCGCTATTCTTTTAAGGTCATCGTCCCAATGTGTCTGAGGTTTTCCTGGAGGAAGTTCGGTCGCCACTCAAGCATCGGTCTTGTGTTTCATATGACCCGTCTACTCCTATTTCAGTCTAGTTATGCGGTCGATACCTTTATAGCATCACCGGGTTTGGGGACGGCGAGATCCTAAGGAGACCTCAAGCCGAGAATCGGCGAGTGCCTCTAGAGGTATTCCAGGCGAATTGCATCTCCCCACGGGGGGAGTCTCCTCTCCGTCTAGAGCCTCTAGACCCCTCGAACCTAAGGGGGTCGGCTCAACTAGAAGGCGTCTCTGAGACTCGGACCTCGGCTCTAATTAGCCATTGTCGTGGGGGGATCAGTGACCTCGCTCTGTCACAGCCATTTATTGGTTTTAGCTTTCAATGTTTAACCATTTAGAACAATTTTTATGAAACTTCATGGGCGGACAAACGGACTAAACGCACACCGCGGTACTGAGAGAATAGTGTTGTCTCTTTTTGTCTTGCAATATTTTCCAAAACTACTTTCTCTGTCATGCGCTGTCCAATCAGATTTCAATATTTATGACAACTAAAGAAAATAAATTTAATAAACAATGAAATTTATAAACTTACTAGTGAAATATTACACGATTAGCTTTTTTTTGTATTTTTCGAATTGTTAGTGCACTTTCGGAAAGCACACGACGGCATTTTAATACTATTTAACGGCATTTTAATAACTTTTCTCGCAAAAATGCCTGCGGTATTTTATTCACCAACGTCAAACTGACACTATATCGAGCCCTTACCGCCAAATTATCGTAAGCGACACTTTTGTCGAAATGCGTTTTTTGTGGAAACTAATATTTTAAACCGTAACGGACCCATCTCTGTTGATATTTCCCTCTATTCTTCCCTCTATTATATTATAACGGTGTTCTTTTGGAGGGAAATATCAACAGAGATGGGTCCGTTACGGTTTAAAATATTAGTTTCCACAAAAAACGCATTTTGACAAAAGTGTCGCTTACGATAATTTGGCGGTAAGGGCTCGATATTCAGATGAACACTGATTAGACAAGCTATGATGAAACTCTACATAGCCTATTCGAGTGCTGTCAGCTTTCAGAGCGGTCATACTATGGTATAGTGCCCGGCACGTAAGTTGAACCCAAATTTTATTTTTCAGCGCATGTTTTTGTACAGAAAAGCGACACAAAACTAAATGTTTTTTTAACAAAACGGTTGCTGTGATTCATTAGATATTGATAATTATTTAGTGCTATAATTTGGGTTCAACTTACGTGCCGGGCATATCTAACGATTGAAATCTTTGACATATCATCATCATCATCAGCCTATTAATGTCCCCACTGCTGGGGCACAGGTCTTCCCTATGGATGGAATAGGGAGATTGGGCCATGACCCACCACGCGGGCCCAGTGCGGATTGGTGGCTGCTAACGACTGCAAATGCAGCCGGGACCAACGACTTAACGTGCCTTCCGAAGCACGGAGGAGGAGCTCGAGATACTAAATTTTTGGTCACCCATCCAATGACCGACCACTGCGAAAGTTGCTTAACTTCAACGATCGCAGCCGAACGCGCTAGCCACCTGCGCCATCGAGCTCCTCTTTGATATATACTGCTAAGTTTTCAGACTGACACATAAACTATAATCCCCCCCCCTCTCTCTCTCTCTCTCTCTCTCTCTCTCTCTCTGTGTGTGTGTGTGTGTGTGTCTTAACCTGTGTCTTCAAATAACGCCTCGTGATTACTTTGGGGCTAGGCTAATTAGTGCGAGTGTAGGAAATTCTTACTTAATTCTATAATTATACTATTATAAATATAAAGTCTCATTCCTTTCGGCCATAGATCGAGGGTCACTACGGCGGTGTCCGAGTGATAGCGGAAGGTCGCGGCAGTCAAGTATTCGTGGGCACCACCCGCAACTGTATCCTGCAAGGAGACCTGGAGTTGGGATTCACTCCAGCAGTACTGGGTGAGTTTATCGATCCAGATGGACCTTCCATCAGAATGGATCAATGTTGCAAAAGCGAAAATTTCAAAATCAGGAACAAAATTCCTTGTTAAAATCGGGAGATTTTATTTTTTGGCAAAATAAATCAACAGTATTTTATGCTACTAATTGAAATAAATTATTAAAAACATAATCAGGTAAAGTGATTTCTAATTATTCCTTTTCTTACACAGACAGATGAAAGCTTTAGATTTTTGGCCTACAAGTTGAGAATAGTGGGTTTGAAAGTTAATAGGAGCATACGTATTTATGCTATTTCATTCCGGTCAAGTTATAATGTACCTAACCTCTGATGGTTTAGCTACTTGAACATTACTCTGTTTGATTAATAAATCTCAAGAAATTTACAAAAAGACTGGTTTTAAACCAGCGTCTTCCACTAACCTCTTCTCATAGATATTAATGATAGTATCGATTTTCTTCTAGTATTACTAGGCTATTAAAAAAATGATTGCCTGTAAAGTCGGTTTACGGACGACACTTTTACGTGATCACAAAATTGATTTTAATTTAATTTAGTTATTCTTAATTGATTATATTACGTTTGTTTTGTTGCAAAGAATAATTTATATAAATTATGAATGTGACGCCATCCTATGTATTATATTAGGGGTGCCCACGATACAGGTTTCTCCTAGTGTGGGACCCACAGTCAATGCTACAGTATTGTCACGTTTAGTCAAAAATAAAAAAGGGTTTCAAATTTTAGTATTTAAATAATTAATGTGTTCATAATGTTAAAACTTATTGGAAATAAAATTATTATCTCTTATCTAATAGACAAGTCCGTCCGTCCGTCCGTGGTGCTGTTTCAGCGGCCAAACCGTAAGAGATAGATATAGAGAATGTTTAAGTTATAAGTTAAGAATAGTCTGATAAGACTACAAACCGGATGTGAGTAACGTAGCACTTCCGGTTTTCGAGAAATCACGTGATTTCTATTTCAAACGAAACCACACAAAATCTCCGAAGTTCTCAATTAATTAAATTTTTTTTTTTTTTTGGTGAACATTTGGTTCACTGGTTTGCTAGTTATTATTATAATGTAACGTTAACGTTCAGGTCACGTAGATGAAGTCTGGGGTTTGGCAGCACATCCGTCTTTGAATCAGTTCGCGACGGCCGGCTGGGATCGCCTGCTGCAGCTATGGGACGGGCTTAGTCACTGCACCGTCTGGAGCAAGGATATTGAGGTAATTATAATTATATTTATTTCTTTAGCTTTCACGCACATCACTCATTAAATTAAACAAGTTTCAACGGGTAAGATGTACTGATTTTATTTATTTAATGACTGAGGAATGCGTCGTTATCCTGCAAAGGATGCGAAACTTAAATACATAAATAAAATCAGTGTATCTAACCCGTTGAAACTTATCTCTTATCTATTAGACAAGTCCGTCCGTCCGTCCGTGGTGCTGTTTCAGCGGCCAAACCGTAAGAGATAGATAAAGAGAATGTTTAAGTTATAAGTTGAGAATAGTCTGATAAGACTACAAACCGGATGTGAGTAACGTAGCACTTCCGGTTTTCGAGAAATCACGTGATTTCTATTTCAAACGAAACCACACAAAATCTCCGAAGTTCTCAATTAATTAAATACTTAATATATTTTTTTTTGGTGAACATTTGGTTCACTGGTTTGCTAGTTTTATTTAATTACAATCATAATATTTACCTTGCAAGTTAATCATACATAATGAGCTACCTTAATGAAAATTTTGTTATAAGTATGAAACCTACATTGTTCGAAAAAAAACCGGCCAAGTACAAGTCGGACTCGTGCACCGAAGGTTCCGCAAAAACTCAATTTAAGGCCTCTACGCGTTCATGAGAAAATAGGTAGTAACTTTAAAAAATTTAAATATTCTTTTTATTATATGATGTAACTAAAAATTTACTGTTTTCGCAATTTTTCCTTTGTCTGTACTATAAGACGTTACTTTCAATACTCTAAGTTCACGGGAAGTACCCTGTAGGTTTTGATTCCCATGCGAGTTTCAATAATTTGCGGTATAACGGCTTAGAAGTTTGATTTTTTCACAGCTCCAAAGGACAGTAGACATGAGTATTCTATATGAATTTCAGTTTGAGCCTCCACGCGTTCCTGAGAAAAACGGTCTTTACAGACGGACGGATAACAGAGTGATCCAATAAGGGTTCCGTTTTTTCCATTCCGATGCCTACAAAAACGAATTAAAAAAGTTAATATTAGATTTTTTCATTGTACAACACGATTGCCTTCCAAAAAAAATGGTTAAAAGTCAATTATTAAAAAAAATCGTTGCAAAAACTATACTTGAGTTACTGTATAAGTTCCATTTGCAACAGTTTTGTTAAATTTTAAATTGTCATTGACGTTGTGTCATTTTTCTATGGGTTAAAGCTAGTTTTAATTGAATCCGGATTTAGCAAAGTTGCTGCAAGTGAACTCAAGTTTAATAAACGTATATAACCTTGGTCCACTTGCAGCAATTTTGCTAAATCTGCTGAGTTATGATGCATGAACAGACGGCGGGATTCTAACAGTAGCCACCCTAACGAGGCCTGTTCCTTTAAAACACATTGTAAACAAGTTGGCAGTTGTCATTGTTGTTGTTGGCACATTCACTTTTACGTCGCACTCCTAAGGGTCATATTCGAGTGGACCGCATCACGGTCGTCGTACTTATACATACAGGTACTTTGGGATGCGAGTACAACAAGTGACACCCACGACGTTCTGGATAGATTCGTTTCTAGTGCATTTTTGACAATATTTAATATTTTTATCTACTCTGATATTATAATACAAAGATTCTAAAACTGAAAACAAAATGCTTATGACAAACATTACGTACAGGCCAAAAATAATAAAAAGAAAGTTTAATTACGATACAGGGGGCCAATCGCCTAACTGGATTGCTTTGGAAAACGCTATCGCTTACGATTTCATTTTGTTATTTCTAGCCCCCTGAGGTTTTCAAATGCCTCGCGCTCTTTTTTTTTCTTTTGCATTGGTAATAACAATGTTAAAGAAAATGAGCGTGAGGTATTTCGGCGGTTAGAAATAACAAAATGAAATCGTAAGCGATAGCGTTTTCCAAAGCAATCCAGTTAGGCGATTGGCCCCCAGGTCTTGTATGGACACATGGACACCTGTAACATAATATAACTTTTTAATCATAACGATACACCTACACAACCTCCAGCTGGACCAAGGAGGTTGAACCTCTACTTTAAAAAAGGTTTCAATGAACGAGTCAGCGACGACGCAACACGCATGCGCAATCGATGTTTGCACCTTGGCGCCAACATTTGACATTTAAAAATCTTTTCAATATTTAAACAAAGTTTGGATTTGTTTGTAAAATACATAAGTTTTTGTGTAAAAACATAACTGAAAGCGGGGATAGTGCTGATTGTACGCAACCAGACATTCTGGAAGCTGCGTCAAACATGACCATGAACCTGTTGCCGGCGAAATCTAGGAGCAACTATAATAAATGTTACCACGAAATCATGGAATGGAAAATGAATAAAAATGCTACATAATTTTCTGAAAATGTGTTGTTAGCGTACTTTCAAGAGTTATCTGGAAAATATAAAGTCTCAAGTATGTGTGTTAAATACTCCATGATTAAAAGTACACTCAATATTTACAACGAAGTTGACATAACTAAATATAACAAGCTGATTGCATTTTTGAAACGAAACTCACAAGGATATAAAGGGAAAAAATCCAAGACTTTTACAGCAGAGCCGATAAATAAGTTCTTAAATGAAGCCCCAGACACATTACATCTCTTCACAAAGGTATTTTAGTTGTTTATCAGATAACCATGTACATTTTTTTTGTTAATGTTGAGTTGATTTACCGTAATATATATATATATATATATATATATATATATATATATATATATATATATATATATATATATATATGTATGAGTTGTTACAGATTGCACTAATTTTTGGTATAATGGGTGCTTGCCGACGGCAAGAGTTATACAACATACAATTCAAAGATGTTGAAGTCTTCGAAACTACACTATTGATCAAAATAAGTAAAACTAAAACCAAGACGGACCGCTCTTTTACCGTTACTGGGAAATATTATGAACTATGCAAAAAATACATAGAGCTACGACCAACTCAGTGCAGCAATCCCAGTTTTTTTCTAAACTATATTGCCGGAAAATGCACGACGCAGAAAGGTGGCATTAACAAATTTGGAGCTTTAGGCAAAGTTATTGCCAGCTATCTTCAACTTACCGATCCCGAATTGTACACAGGACACTGCTTTCGCCGAACATCTGCGACCTTGCTAGTTGACGCTGGTGGAGATATAACGGCACTAAAGCGACACGGTGGCTGGAAGTCGACGACAGTTGCAGAAGGCTATATAGATGATTCAATGACTAACAAGATCGCTGTATCCAATTTAATACTTAAAAGTATTGAAAATAACAGAAATTAGGTCAACATTAACATACCCTCTCTGAGTACCTCCAATAACGCTTCCTGTCCGGTTCAAATTCAGTTTCATAATTGTAATATTCGGAACATCAATAATTACCTATTACAAGTAAAAATAAATTTGTTGTTATATTCAGCGTTTTATTAACAATATTGTTTTACGTATTATAGTATGAGAGTAGATAAAGTTGTGTATGACACTGTACATAACTTGGTCTTATCATAAACTACTAATATTTTCGGATATTTTAAGCATTTAAATGCTAGATGTTTAAATCTAAAGATCTAAAAAAAAATAAAGATGAAAAAAAATCTAAATCTAAATATTTAATATTACACAGATTTCATTACGAAAACGTTGAAATAAAAATCAAGGTTCATTTATTAGCAGTCTCAACGCGAGCTCTGCTCTGAGCTTTCTGCTGCGTTTCTGTCGCCGCTTTCTGAACTTGTACCTATTCAAAGATTATTCGGAATTTCGAAGTATCCATCTTTTCCGTCTATTAAATGCCCGTTCTAATAATTCTCAAAACTTTATACAAAGGATCTCACGTCACACTGGCGCCATTATGTTACGAGATTTTCCTAAACATCCTCACAGTTGTGAGCTTTAGCGATATTGATTTATGGTGTGGTGTCCAGGAGCGGGCCCAATGTTGCGCGTGGTCCACAGACGGCGGGGTCCTGGCTGTGGGGACCCTCACGGGGGCCTGGCTGGTGTTCCATCCCCACTCCCGCGCCCTGCTGGCCACCCACCACGACGGGTGAGTTATGATACATATACAGACGGCGGGGTCCTGGCTGTGGGGACCCTCACGGGGGCCTGGCTGGTGTTCCATCCCCACTCCCGCGCCCTGCTGGCCACCCACCACGACGGGTGAGTTATGATACATATACAGACGGCGGGGTCCTGGCTGTGGGGACCCTCACGGGGGCCTGGCTGGTGTTCCATCCCCACTCCCGCGCCCTGCTGGCCACCCACCACGACGGGTGAGTTATGATACATATACAGACGGCGGGGTCCTGGCTGTGGGGACCCTCACGGGGGCCTGGCTGGTGTTCCATCCCCACTCCCGCGCCCTGCTGGCCACCCACCACGACGGGTGAGTTATGATACATATACAGACGGCGGGGTCCTGGCTGTGGGGACCCTCACGGGGGCCTGGCTGGTGTTCCATCCCCACTCCCGCGCCCTGCTGGCCACCCACCACGACGGGTGAGTTATGATACATATACAGACGGCGGGGTCCTGGCTGTGGGGACCCTCACGGGGGCCTGGCTGGTGTTCCATCCCCACTCCCGCGCCCTGCTGGCCACCCACCACGACGGGTGAGTTATGATACATATACAGACGGCGGGGTCCTGGCTGTGGGGACCCTCACGGGGGCCTGGCTGGTGTTCCATCCCCACTCCCGCGCCCTGCTGGCCACCCACCACGACGGGTGAGTTATGATACATATACAGACGGCGGGGTCCTGGCTGTGGGGACCCTCACGGGGGCCTGGCTGGTGTTCCATCCCCACTCCCGCGCCCTGCTGGCCACCCACCACGACGGGTGAGTTATGATACATATACAGACGGCGGGGTCCTGGCTGTGGGGACCCTCACGGGGGCCTGGCTGGTGTTCCATCCCCACTCCCGCGCCCTGCTGGCCACCCACCACGACGGGTGAGTTATGATACATATACAGACGGCGGGGTCCTGGCTGTGGGGACCCTCACGGGGGCCTGGCTGGTGTTCCATCCCCACTCCCGCGCCCTGCTGGCCACCCACCACGACGGGTGAGTTATGATACATATACAGACGGCGGGGTCCTGGCTGTGGGGACCCTCACGGGGGCCTGGCTGGTGTTCCATCCCCACTCCCGCGCCCTGCTGGCCACCCACCACGACGGGTGAGTTATGATACATATACAGACGGCGGGGTCCTGGCTGTGGGGACCCTCACGGGGGCCTGGCTGGTGTTCCATCCCCACTCCCGCGCCCTGCTGGCCACCCACCACGACGGGTGAGTTATGATACATATACAGACGGCGGGGTCCTGGCTGTGGGGACCCTCACGGGGGCCTGGCTGGTGTTCCATCCCCACTCCCGCGCCCTGCTGGCCACCCACCACGACGGGTGAGTTATGATACATATACAGACGGCGGGGTCCTGGCTGTGGGGACCCTCACGGGGGCCTGGCTGGTGTTCCATCCCCACTCCCGCGCCCTGCTGGCCACCCACCACGACGGGTGAGTTATGATACATATACAGACGGCGGGGTCCTGGCTGTGGGGACCCTCACGGGGGCCTGGCTGGTGTTCCATCCCCACTCCCGCGCCCTGCTGGCCACCCACCACGACGGGTGAGTTATGATACATATACAGACGGCGGGGTCCTGGCTGTGGGGACCCTCACGGGGGCCTGGCTGGTGTTCCATCCCCACTCCCGCGCCCTGCTGGCCACCCACCACGACGGGTGAGTTATGATACATATACAGACGGCGGGGTCCTGGCTGTGGGGACCCTCACGGGGGCCTGGCTGGTGTTCCATCCCCACTCCCGCGCCCTGCTGGCCACCCACCACGACGGGTGAGTTATGATACATATACAGACGGCGGGGTCCTGGCTGTGGGGACCCTCACGGGGGCCTGGCTGGTGTTCCATCCCCACTCCCGCGCCCTGCTGGCCACCCACCACGACGGGTGAGTTATGATACATATACAGACGGCGGGGTCCTGGCTGTGGGGACCCTCACGGGGGCCTGGCTGGTGTTCCATCCCCACTCCCGCGCCCTGCTGGCCACCCACCACGACGGGTGAGTTATGATACATATACAGACGGCGGGGTCCTGGCTGTGGGGACCCTCACGGGGGCCTGGCTGGTGTTCCATCCCCACGACGAGTGAGTTGTCAACACATATGCTCAATAAAAGCATTTATGATGATTGTATACATTCTTCAAAAGTTTAAAATTACGGGCCATACAACAGAGCATGCGGTAATACATTTTACTACACGCTCACGTACATTCATGGGGCCAAAACCAAAATATAGAAGCCTTCTAGTACGTTTTTCTTAAAAGTGAGATGGCTGATGATAGACAACCTCCGTGGCCGAGTGGTTTGTACGCCGGGTTTCATGGTGTCGCCGACTCGAGAGGTCCCGGGTTCGAATCCCGGTGCGGGCAGATGTTTGTGTGATGAATACGTGCATTTGTACTCCGGTCATGGATGTTTAATATGTATTTCTATATAAATATACTTATATATGTACAGTATATGTATTCTATCCGTTACCCTAGTATCCCATAACACAAGCCTTATAGTGCTTACTTTGGGGCTAGGATAATTGGTGTGTGTGTTGGTAATATTTATTTTTTATTTATTTATCTATTTCGGTCTACCCCGTATTATTATTAAACAAAATGAATTATCTCTTCTTATCTTATAGTACTGAGCCGATTCAGACAATCCAGTACTCGCCGGACAACAATATGGTCGCCATCGGATCCCGAGACAACTTCATCTACGTTTACCGGGTCGAAGAAAACGGCTCACGGTACAGCCGCGTTGGGAAGTGTCTGGTGAGTTTGAATCTCTGAATCCATATTTCATTGCCGATTCACTAATATTTTAATACCTTTACCAACATTTAGTGATCCTGCTTAGAAAGAAATAAATAAATAAATTTAATTTATTAGCCTTAAACATAGTCATATTAACATAAATAAAACAAGACAAAATAGGCCAACTAGTCCCTACATTAGCTTAATACAGCAACACCAGGGCTGCTGCAGCGCTGATGATTCTGGCAGGGCCTAAGGTTGATGACAAAGATTTTTTTAAATAATGATAATACACCAAAAGAAACAACCATACCAATTAATGCATATAAAAAACATAGGCTGAATGATTTCACTATCTTAGCCTTAAAGAAAAGTGCAAAAATTAAAAAAAAAATGTTTGAATATTTATATAAATAATGGGGTCGTTTCTGACATGATTCTCTAGACTTAAGACTAAATTTAACATCAGTCTCTCCTTTTCATTCTGTTTAGAGAATGACAAGAATGCACTGTTGTCAAATTTAAATTTTGCCCCGTTAAGAATATTAACTTAACAGTCCATGAATGTTTCATGTCCCGAGGCCCAATCAAGACTTTCTGAAAGTTCCGTAAAGTATCGTCATCATCTCATTTTGAATGGAGAATTCTAGTTCGTTCTTACGTCCGATAGAGGCGTTTTTAGTTTTCATAGAAACTTTGTAGATGCGTTATGTTACGGAGCTATCAAAAATTTGCGCTTGTTCGTCTGTAATGGCGATAATGGTGGCATGATTCTCTAGACTTGAAACTAAATTTAACATCGGTCTCTCCTTTTCATTCTGTATAGAGAATGACAAGGACACTCTGTTGTCAAATTTATGTTTAGGTTTAGAGAAAAATGTCAGAATCGACACCATTGTTAAATTAAAATCACACTTTCAAGTTTGATTATTCTAATTGTTTATCAATCATCATCAATCATCTCAATGACTTGTAAGCGCTAGTAATGGATATTTGACACATATCAAAAATTCTAATTAATGAATTTGAAAGTGAGATTGTATATTAAAGAATACCTAAGCTGTATGAATATTCAGATTATGTGAACGCCTAACATTTGCACTAAATGTTTGAACGAATTTTAAATAAAATCACGTTTAAACTTCAATTGACAAAGAGTATTTTCGAATGGATTTAGTTTAGGAACGTTGGTCTAAGTGACCCTATGATAAGCAATAATAGTGATAACAATACTTTTCTCTGTCTAGCCTCAACAATTAAAACTTCATACTTAACTAACTTAACACATACAATAGGGATGATGACTATTTTTTTTCTTCGTTTATGAGGTAGATTATCAAAAAGTATTGGCCACGTATTTGCTCTTTTTTCACATAATATAAACATTGCAGAGATATATTGATTTGAAGAGTCGCATGACGTCACGTTTTGGTACAATTTTCACTCAAAAGTGACGTCACGAGCCTTTACTCCCAAACTTTGATGCGCTATAACTTTGTCACTTTTTAGTTGATTGCCCAGAGAAAAAATACGTGTCCATTATTTTTTGATCATCTAACTGACGGACTAAATAGAATTTCTTTTACTGTACCCCGTCATGAGCCCTATTCACGTGACCAAACTTCACATTCCACTACACAAAATTATTATATTCACAATCACAACCTAATTCAGTCGAGTGGTTACAGCAATACTTCTTATATCTGCTTATTCAAATTGTACCAAGTAATGATAATTATAATATTATTATTAAGTCGTTTTTAATATGTCTTCAGAACCATTAACATCTTAGATTAAAACAAAAAGGTGAGATACGGTACGCTCATACTAGCATCAAATAAAATATGATCCGAATCAACAACATGCGGTATTTAAATAAATTAGAAGTGCTATACAGCAAATTAAGATTGGTTTCGGACGGTCCTCATGCTATGACAATAAAAATCTGTAATCATGTACCAAATATAAATAATATAAAGAACATAGAGCCTGCCAAATTTAATAACCAATTAAAATCATATTTAATCCAAAAATGTTATTATAATTTAAAAGATTTTTTTGAGGACAAATGTAATGTAATTATTTTTTAAAGTTGACTTGTTACTTGTTTCTTGTTGTGGGCCCCCGTTTCCGCACGTAGACTCATTATTGGTCCATTGTGCGTGCAGGGTTGATTGGGCTAGCTAGCTCAGCCAGCCCAGCTCCTTCCAGAAGCGCAGTAGTCTCCTGGGACTCTCACAGGCTTCTAGGAGCGTCCTTAAAGCGGCTTTTAAAGTTGACATTTCCATTATTATTATTGACGTGACAACGTCTTAAATTAGGTTGCGGCTGGGAGTCACTTATGAAAAAGTGTAACGCTCGGTAACGTTACGATGAGTCTCTCGTGTTAAGTTTAAGTTTACATGTACAATGTTTTAGTAAACAAAATATATTTCTATAGTTAAAATTTGTGCAATTCTTATTTTCATTCAATTCCTTGTTCCTATTGTGCAATTTAATTATATTCATATCAATAAATATTCTACCGAGAAAAAGACGTTGTCACGTAAAATCTTCGCCCGTAAAACCGACTTTACAGGCAACCATTTTTTATTGTTTATTGACGTTGTTAAATCTATTTTATAAAATTTAATTGTTTGTTGTGTAAAGATGAAATGTGAACAAACTATTATAATATAATTTAACAAGCCCCCTGGCTTGATATTTGCTATGCCCCAGCATAATATTTAATGTAACATGACATGCAATAAATAAATAAGCAACTCTCTCACACGCACACGTCTGTAAATAAACATTCAATCGAGCGAGCGAGACAGAATTGTACGCTTGAACGCAGCGCGAGCGAAACGACGTGAGTACGCGTCGCTTTGCAGCCGACTGCGTTTTCTTTTCCTCTCTACAGACGGCTGAGTTGTACTTTTGTCCTTTTCTTGACAAAAAATGGCGAATCAGTAACTAACATGCAAGGCAAACCGTATATTTTGAGAAAAGAATGTTTATATAGTTTTACGAATGAAAATTGTTGCCGTGGCATTTGTTATTTGATCTTGAACTATTTGTGTTCTTTATAAAAGCATCGAAGGCATTTTTTTATCTTTATAACACAGCAAATAGGAAATATTGTTATATTTAGTGCACATGCATAGTGTTTGGATGTCCAATTGTGACTAAAGCGAATTGTGGTCATGCACCACAATTTAAGCGGATCACTTTTAAGCCGCGAGTGCCGTATCCTCCCCTTTTGCTTTAATCTTCGACTAATACCCGCCATACACACTACGAGAAATCGTTACGATCAGACTGTACAGTTCGAACGGTACAGTTTATACGATTTCGTTTAGTATAGGAAACTGTGCAGTTGTATAACATACACGCTACGATTTGGTACCGTTCGGACTGTCCAGTCTAATCGTAACGATTATAGATATTAACGGGATTGTTACCATGTACCTTGTTTTTTATGAGTCTCCGATATTTCGGCACTGTTGCAAGCGCCAATGGTAGTGGTAGTATCGAGCGCAGTAAAAGACGACGTCAGAGGGTAGACCGATATGTCTGCCAATAACATCTACCCGCAATTACTTCAGTTACTCCGTGATCATGGCGCTTGCAACAGTGCCGAAATATCGGAGACTCATAAAAAACAAGGTCATCATAATCATCATCATCAGCCTATTAATGTCCCCACTGCTGGGGCACAGGCCTTCCCTATGGATGGAATAGGGAGATAAGGCCATGACCCACCACGCGGGCCCAGTGCGGATTGGTAGGTGCTAACGACTGCAGATGCAGCCGGGACCAACGGCTTAACGTGCCTTCCGAAGCACGGAGGAGCTCATGTTATTAAATTTTTGGTCACCCATCCAATGACCGACCACTGCGAAAGTTGCTTAACTTCAACGATCGCAGCCGAACGCGCTAACCACTTGCGCCATCGAGCTCCTCAAAAAAAAAAAAAAAAAAAAAAACAAGGTACATGGTAACAATCCCGTTAATATCTATAATGTTAGTGACCATGAAAGTTTAAAACAATATATAATCGTAACGATTTATCGTAGTGTGTATGGCGGGTATTACATAGATAAAACAAATCATTTTTGATCATGACATTTCTATGATTATTTCACGCATCACCATAGTGCACGGAGAAAAAACGTAGAAGGGTAAAAACATTGACGTTATATTGCAGGCTTCGCTAGTTGCTAATAGTAGAAAAAGTTCAAAAAATATTAATGTAACTTTATTTAAACTTACCTTGTGAAAACCCTATTTTATCGATAAAAATGGCCGCTAATAAATCGCTATTCTTCATATCATAGTATTAAATTCAGCTTCAGCTATTTATTGGGAATGCCAGAAATCTTAGTCTTAAGATCAAGTAGTCTTGCAATATACACTTTTAACAATCAGCACTCACATCATATAACAACAAGAAATGAAATAAGATTTTGATTTTCAGAGTTCCGTACGTAAATGGTAAAAACCGGGCCCTATTACTAAGACTCCACTGTCCGTCCGCGTGTCTGTATGTCACCAAACTGTATCTCATGAACAGTGATAGCTGGACAGTTCATTTATTTTCACAGATGATGATGAAAAAAACAAAATAATTATCTAATTGGGCCCCCCATAGAACAAACGTGTTTTTTTTTGCTCTTTATTAATAACGACAACAAGTAGACGCTTGAAATATTCACAGAATATACAATTATTTATTCATTTTAAAAATAAATAATTAAATTAATATTTTAGTGAGCTCGTTGGCGCAGGTGGTTAGCGTGTTTGGCTGCGATCGTTGAAGTTAAGCAACTTTCGCAGTGGTCGGTCATTGGATGGGTGACCAAAAATTTACTATCTCGAGCTCCTTCGTGCTTCGAAGGCACGTTAAGCCGTTGGTCCCGGCTGCACCTGCAGTCGTTAGCACCCACCAATCCGCACTGGGACCGCGTGGTGGGTCATGGCCCAATCTCCCTATTCCATCCATAGGGAAGGCCTGTGCCCCAGCAGTGGGGACATTAATAGGCTGATGATGATGCTGATGAATATTTTAGGGGGCTCTCATACAACAGATGGGATTTTTTGCCGTTTTTTGCTCGATATTATAAAAAAGTGTCTAATATTGTATAGATCAAGGTACGGAACCCTTCGTGCGCGAGTCCAACTTACACTTGGCCAGTTTTTTTTCTGTAATTAGCCCGCTTATCTAAGCTATATAGTAGCAGTAGTACTCGCCAATAGTTTGCTTTTATGCCCATAACCCGTAATCAGACCTGAAACTAAACAATTTATTTTATACTTACGAAAAAAATCTGTGTATAGTCTGTGCGGAAAAACAATGGGATTTAGATTGGAGGGCGCTGTAGTGCTTTTCTACCGTATTTGTAAGGTTTTACCCCTTTTAGACATGATTAAATACAAAAAACCGCTAGAAATCACAACAACAAACAAATCCGTATCAATACAAAACTTTGACGTTTTACAGATTGCTGGGTTTGATTGCCAAATAAAAATCTTAATGTTAGTTCCGTTTTTCGCCACGCCCATTCTCTTTCCGCACAGACACTAGATGAAAAATATAACAAGGTATATAGGTGGCGATTCTGGCATAAATCTCAACTTAAATTTGACAAGAGTGTATCCCTGACATTCTTTATACAAAATGAGAACGAGAGATTTATGTTAAATTTAGTTTTAAGTTTAGAGAATAATGGCAGAATCGACACCCCTGTTTTTTAATGCATGTGAACCTTGTACTTGAGTTAATGAACTCCGTTCCACCTTGCAGAGCTATCCGAATGATCGTTAAGTGTTATTTATTTAAAGATAACAGATAAACGGTGTGGTCAAACAAACGCAACAGATTCTAAACCGAAAAATGCAAAAGTTTATTGTATTGAAAAACTTCAATTGTAAAAGGTTTATTTAAATATTTCAAATGAAAGTATGAAAAGTGTCGTTATATGAGTTAACTAGCGGCCCGCCCTCGCTTCGCTTCGGTGTAGAGCTGAAGTGTAGACTACAGTTTTTGTTCTCAGGCTTGTATTATACACAATGACATTCATCTATGATTCTTCTTATACCTGCATGCAAATTCTCAGCCCGATCGGTTTAAAATTGACAAAGTTTCATACAAAGTTTCATTCCCTATTTTATCCCCTTGGGGGTACAATTGATCAAAATCCTTTCTTAGCGGATGCCTACGTCATAACATCTACCTGCATGCCAAATTTCAGCCCGATCCATCCAGTGGTTTGGGCTGTGCGTTGATAGATCACTATGTCAGTCATTCACCTTTGAGTTTTATATATATAGAACTTACACGTTTAGTAGGTTGTACTTTCGTCTGCTATCATTGTGAATACACGAACATAACTTTGCTTCTGGCGCAATCGGGTAGTAAATAAAAACAGTTGATTTGCATTACACTACGCGATATGCAGAATGAGGGCTATCGCGTATGAATCCACCGCTAGAGGCGCTAGTGTAGCGTGAGGTCTCCGAAATGTCAAATGTTATTGCTTGTGGGTTGACTACGTGGGTTTATTACTACTGTGAATGTTTGGTAATAACTCGGCTTAAGAGCCCTTTCACATTTTTTGCAAAAACTCGTAATTTTGAGTGCCCCGTTTGGGGCCATCCATAAATTACGTCACACTTTAAGGGGTAGGGAGGGGGTCGACGAAATGTGACATCGTGTGACAAGGGGTTGGTAGGGGTCCTAAATTTCGTGACGTCACATTTCAAAATATATTAAAATCTAAGTGTTGAAACTATTACTTTACGAAAGCATTAACAACCCAAACGAGAACAAAGTGGTGCTATGCCAGTTATAAATAATTTAAAGGAGTGGGATCAATGTCCATGGACTCAAGATTATTAAGTTTGTATCTTTAATTTAATTATAATGCTATTAATATTTTATGTTTTGTTAATTTCTTTAATTAACATAGTCAATCACTTTTTGTTCGGTAATTTTTTTGTTTTGTTAATTGTTTGATTTGATTATAATAATAATGAAAAAACAATTTAAATGGAAATAAAACTGATTACAGAACCGCTGTTTTCATTCAATGATTTCTAAATGTAAATTTGCAAAATATGTGACGTCACACTAGGGAGGGGGGGGGGGAGTCTTACAAATGTGACCAGCTGTGACAAGGACGGGGGGAGGGGCAATAAAGACATGAAATTCGTGTGACGTAATTTATGGATGACCCCTTTACCCCCTCAGAAAAGATTTTGACTATTTCCAATAGAAGTAAACAGTAGATTTATTCTTCCTAATGTAAGTAAATGTAGAGCTAGCAAACCAGTGAACCAAATGTTCACCAAAACCTGATTTCTCGAAAACCGGAAGTGCTACGTTACTCAAATCTGGTCTTATCAGACTATTCTTAACTTATAACTTAAATATTCTCTTTATCTATCTCTTACGGTTTGGCCGCTGAAACAGCACCGCAGACGGACGCACTAGTCTAATAGATAAGAGATATTTGCAAATTCTATTTTCCTTTTTTGTACTGATCGTTCTACTGCAACTAGTTTACGGAAAAAACGATAATATGCACATATTCAAACGCCTGAATCTCTCAATAATGTTCAATAAATTAGATCAAATTAATTACTACGATATCAGAAATATGTTTTTGGTGCAACATAATGTATTAGAATTTTGATTTTCCATCTCATTAATTATCAAAAAGGACATCTAAACTCCGTGGGTTTCCCAAAAAATAATGCAGGTTTTACCTCGTATTTTGATATTGAATTAAATAGAATCACTAACAAAAACTTTCATAAAACTAATCTACCATCATCGAACTACTGAAATATGTATAAATTTTTATAATTAGTTCATTAATAATCTCTTATCTATTAGACAAGTCCGGCCAAACCGTAAGAGATAGATAAAGAGAATATTATGGTTAAGAATAGTCTGATAAGACTACAAACCGGATTTGAGTAACGTAGCACTTCCGGTTTTCGAGAAATCAGGTTTTGGTGAACATTTGGTTCACTGGTTTGCTTGTTATTTGATAAGACTCGAAACATCACCCGTAAAATGCAATATATACTAGTGCAAATCTACCTACGCGCCGTTTAGTACGACAGCGGCGCAATTTTGTAAAAGGGTTCTTAATTATGGCAAATATGAGTTACATGGCAATGAATGTCAGTTGTTTAAAAGCGGAGCTGAGACGATTTTTATTTCGTCCTTTTTTCCGAATAAAACGGAACTGCTCATCGCTGTGGCATAGCCGGTTATGTTTTGGATACGGTTCTTTTACGGTTCGACGACCTCCGTGGCCGAGTGGTTTGTACGCCGGGTTTCATGGTGTCGCCGACTCGAGAGGTCCCGGGTTCGAATCCCGGTGGGGGCAGATGTTTGTGTGATGAATATGTGCATTTGTACTCCAGTCATGGATGTTTAATATGTATTTCTATATAAATATACTTATATATGTACAGTATATGTATTCTATCCGTTACCCTAGTATCCCATAACACAAGCCTTATAGTGCTTACTTTGGGGCTAGGCTAATTGGTGTGAGTGTTGGAAATATTTATATTTATTTATTTTGTATTTAACTATGATTTAAATGTAAACTTTGATCTCACGCGCTTATGAATAAACTTTAAAAGTTACAATTCAGGACCTCACTGGCGCCATCTGGTGAGACAGAAAACGGTAGCCCGGTAGCCATCATTACGCTCATTTGACCTATCTGTTTTGATAATCAGCTATGTTGTGACTGCTCTGAAAATGTTCATAGTTGCATGGTTTGTACTTTATAGGGTCACTCAAGCTTCATCACCCATCTGGACTGGTCTGAAGATAGTCAATACATCAGGAGCAACTCTGGAGACTACGAGCTGCTGTTCTGTGAGTATTTGTTTTTCGTAATTTTCATGAGATTCGTGTGTATAAATGTAAAGGAAATTTGACTTGAAAAAAATCCACGCGGTCCAGGCATCAGACAGGATTTGAAACTGCACCTTCCGCTATCTGAGCGGTGATCCAGTTTAATATCTGGTTCGCGTAGAGTTTTACTTTAAATTTATAAATGTATGAGTAAAATGCTTGGAACAAAATTAAAAAAAAAAAACAAAAAAACCGCTTCAACTTTACTTACGATACGATACTTTTTAAGTTTTCAAATGTCAAATTCATGAGGTTTAAAGAAAAGTTTTACTAGAAAAAATTCCACGCGGAGCAGGCATCCGGGCGAATGCACTGAACAATTATGCTACCACGGCTCTTGCAGCTTAAGGCTAGGAAAATTTCGACGCGGCTATCAGGGCCGTGGGAGCATAATTGGTTAGTGCATTCGCCCGGATTGCGAATGGTGCGGGTTCGAGTCCCGTCCGCTGCCTGGTCCGCGTGGATTTTTTTCTAATAAAACTTTTCTTTACATTTAAACATCTAGCAGTTAAATGCTTAAAAAAAACATAACTACATAAGGTTTATTGGTTGAAAATTAAAAATAAACTGTGGGGGCAGGTGCTTTCACTCTTGGGTTTCTATAGCATTTCCAAAAAAAAACGAACGAGCTTTACAGTAGTCGCGTATAATGTGTAACATTTGAAACCTCACCTTATATTAGTAAAAAAAGAAATAAAACCTACTACAAAAGGAATAAGCCATTTGAACATTATGTTCTAAAATCTAATCAAATAGCGCGTGCTTCCCAAACTTCCCGTTACACACTTCCGTCCCATTTCAAGAAATCACTCCCACAAATTGCAGGAAAGCGAGAGGAAAGATGTTACACATCAAAAACTTTGAGTCATTAATTAAAATTGTTATTATTTTATCAACCTATTCACGTGACTTAATTTCTCTCGTACAGGGAACGCAACAACATGTCGCCAAGTGACTAGCCCCACTAGCGTGCGTGACGTCACGTGGGCCACCAACTGCTGTCCCATTACGTATACCACCGTGGGAGTGTGGCCAGACAGTGCTGACGGCACTGACCTTAATTCCTGCACCAGGTGAGATAATAATAATAACATTTATTTCAGATCAATCATCCAAAATGGTTAGTAACTAAAAAAACAGTATGAGGCAGGCACTCCACTTGGCTATTCGTGTTTGCTATTTGTAAACTTGACATCAGTCTGCCCTTTTTATTCCTTATAAAGCATGATAATTATTAATGTTAATAGGGGTGATGACTATTTGGTCCGTCAGTTAGATGATCAAAAAATAATGGACACGTATTTTTTCTTTGGGCAATCAACCAAAAAATGACAAAGTTATAGCGCGTCAAAGTTTGGGAGTAGGGGCTCGTGACGTCACTTTTTAGTGAATATTCGCTTAAAAGTGTACTCAAACGTGACGTCATGCGACTTTTCAAATCAATCTCTGCAATGTTTATATTATGTGAAAAAAGAAAAAATACTTGTCCAATACTTTTGGATAATCTACCTGATAAACGAAGAAAAAAAATTAGTCATCATCCCTATTGTACAAAACCTAATAATCATTTTTTTAATCTATTTGTTGCGTTATCAATCATGTATATTTTAAATTTAAATGTATTTTCAGGCTGAAATAAAACGAATTGCTGCACTTTGCTTTGCTTGGTGTTATGCTGTTGTATGTTTTTTGCTTTTTACTGACTTTTTTAAAATTTTATTGTTACTTAAAAGCAAAGGATGCTTGGTCCATACATCCTTTCAAGTAATGAAAAATTTTTACGTCTATTTTTTGTGTCACTAAACAGGCCCTGCCAGAATAGCTCTGGTGCGACACAATGTCGCATCAGCTAATGCTGAGGCAGGGTCCTGGTTAGCCCTGAGATTTTCTTTTAATCAATATCTGTAAATGTGTAAATGAGGGTCAATAAAATATAAATTACACTTTTCTTACATTAAAAAATAAATATATAATTTAAGCGCTAGTAAAAACCGTAATTTTGTTTATTTATTTATTTTGTCCGGTCGCCACAATACAGGCATGTCCTAGTGTGGAAGCCGTAGGTAACTCTATATTTATTTCAATGTTGTAAACTTTAAATTGTTTAATATCATTGTAAACTTTATTTTTCAATTAATTATTATTATATTCTATTCTATATTCAGATCTCACGACGGCCGACTTGCCGCTACAGGCGATGACTTCGGTAAAGTGAAGCTCTACGCGTATCCTGTAACGCAACCTAAGGTAATTTTCCTTTTCAACACATTCACAAAAAATGCATTTACGGAGGTTATTTGACATTGTTCGAAAGTCCAAAATGTCGGGCCATGCAACACATAGCGTGCGGTAAAGTGTTTTACCGCACTTAACATCAAGCAACTTACATGTTTACTTGATGTTAACTATTGAAATAGGTTTTTCATTGATTACACGACATGATTTATCAATAAATAATAACAATTAAGTATTTTACTATTAATTCTACGCCATTGAAATCCGCCGTATGTTTATTTATTTTTCTATCAACAAATCTTCAGGTTAAGTTTGGGAAATTTGACTTTTTTGTTTTTTAATGAAAACATACAATAAATTTAAATATATGTAGAAAATTATTATATGTGTATATATATATATACATGTTTATATTATACACACACACACATATACAGGGTTACAGGGAAAGTCGTACTGAATATTAAAGAATGTTATTATTCAGGCCATTTCTGATGGATTTGGTCCTATAATATGGTGTCCGAAACTTAACCGTTATGGAGATATTGGATATTAAAAGATTTTTTAAAATAATCCTATATTTTTTGGGTTTTTGTCGATTTTTTTGAAACTAGAGCTCCAAAGGTCCGATTTTTTAATGTATAGTAGAAGACATGTATAGTTAGAAGACATGTCAAGCAATAAAAATAATGAATAAAAACTGAACCTACTTCTAACGGCTTAAAAAAACTGCTCGACAACGTTTATAACTAAAGAATTTTCACCAAGTGTTCTTAACTTTGAAGCACTTTTCTAAAAAAAACATGTATGGAACTTATTCTGCAAATAATTTCAAAAACTTCTACGTCTCTTTAGCTATTCAAAAAGGTATAACACTTGCTATTAAATTGGCAAAACATTGACCAAATAACAGTTATGGTAGCAGAGGGTACATTTTTAGTTTGAGGTAAAAATAGCAAAAATACGTAAATAAAACCAGAAAAGCGTCATCATCATCATCATCACCAGCCTATTAATGTCCCCACTGCTGAGGCACAGCCCTCCCCTATTGATGGAATAGGGAGATTGGGCCATGACCCACCACGCGGGCCCAGTGCGGATTGATGGGTACTAACGACTGCAGATGCGGCCGGGACCAACGGCTTAACGTGCCTTCCGAAGCACGGAGGAGCTCGAGATAGTAATTTTTGGTCACCCATCATCATATATATATATATATATATATATATATATATATATATATATATATATATATATATCTAATATCCATATCTGTACAGAAAAGAAGAAGAGCTAAAGAAGTTTCACTTCAGTCGTATGGTCATAAACACACTCGCTTTTTTTTCTAATGATACATTCTTTGGTTTTATTTATTATGCGTTTAATATTGACAATTGCTTTGTAACAGTCTCTTTGCCACCAATACGGCGGGCATTCATCTCACGTGACCTGCGTTCGATTCCTGAGCGATGACTCTCGACTCGTGTCCTCTGGTGGGGCAGATACCGCACTAATGCAGTGGATCGTCGACTAAACTACACCTTAAAACCATTAGCATAAGGTCGATAGATAAGATTACAGAACAAAAGGCAGATGAAACGCACGGAACATACAAGTATAAATAATAATAATAAATCTTTATTCAATATCAATTATTACTAGGGATGGGCCGACTAGCCGCCGACTAATCGGTAAAGACGACTATTCGGCATCGTTTATAGTCGGCGACTATTAGGCAAGAACATACCGATTATTATAATCGTCACATAACAATGAAAGAAAACTCAAAACTTACGCTTGTCACTGCCGGATTTAGGGGAGGGCAACCGGGGCGAAAGCCCCGGGGCCTCCACAATCGGTGGCCCCCACAATAGAGACTTCGGAAAAACAATCTTTCAAATTCCAACTAGTAAACACTAGTAAACATCTTTTCCTTTGATATTTTTTTTTGCTTTTTTACCTTTACCTACAGCCTACAGTACTTTGTACATCTAACATACATGATTATTTGATTATATTAATCTCAGGGCCGAATTAAAGGCAAGGCTGTGGCCCAGGGGCCTCCACAACAGCTTAAGAAATAACAAAATTTCGATGGGTTAACAAGCATACAAATCCTAAGTGGCCCGGGGCCTCCACAATCCTAAATCCGGCCCTGACGCTTGTTTTGAATATTTGAACAGTACCTAGAGTATGTATTTAAGTTACCTACAGTCTTCAAATATTTGAAAAAAACGGTAACTTCTTAACAATTAGTAACTTAGGGATCTGTCATTAATTCAGATAACTTAACACAATGAATATCGAACATAACAAAATACCAATGGGCAGTAAGTTTGTATTAAATGAGTAAAATCTTAGTGCTAGCGAGTCTTAAAGAAGTCCATAGGTAAAAATTTTTTTTAGGGGCAAATTGTAATGTTATTATTTCGGCTTGATTTGGGGCACTCGTTTCGTGCGTGAGCAAGCCGAGTAGTGACGAAATATTCCGAACTCCTTCCTAAGATAGGTATTAGAATGATCGGCATTGCAGATTAGTCGGCAATAGGGATGATGACTATATTTTTTTTCTTCGTTTATCAGGTAGATTATCAAAAAGTATTGGACACGTATTTTTTCTTTTTTCACATAATATAAACATTGCAGAGATATATTGATTTGAAAAGTCGCATGACGTCACGTTTGAGTACACTTATAAGTGAAAATTCACTCAAAAGTGACGTCACGAGCCCCTACTCCCAAACTTTGACGCGCTATAACTTTGTCAATTTTTGGTTGATTGCCGAACGAAAAAATACGTGTCCATTATTTTTTGATCATCTAACTGACGGACTAAATAGAATTTCGTTTACTGTACCCCGTCATCACCCCTATTCGAAAATCGATTATTCGGCTAGTCAGTTAGTCGGCAAATGCTATAGTCGGCCCATCTCTAATTAGTACATACAAATAACTTAAATCTAAAACATATAAAAGGAAAAAAGTACACAGCCTGAACTAGGATTGTACTGTGTTTCAGGTAAAAAGATCTAATATAAATCTACTTTAAATAATCAATAGCACAATCAAAAATGACAATAACAAAAAAACAAAATACAACTTAATTTGATTTAAACCTTTTAATAAATATGAAATGAAAATTTAATCTCATTTTGTTTTAAAAAGGTCATCAAGTTATCTGTATCTTCATATGGCAACATTTGAATTGCGGGCACCAAAGCAAATACGGAGTCGCAAACGAATACAAACTCGCGTAAAACACAGTAAAGCAAAGGACACCCGGCATTTTGTGCCAAAGTTGTATACTTTTTTATTTTTTTTATCTGTGTTTCCTATTTGAATAACGTAGGCTGGCAATATTTGTCATCAGCAGCTAGCTGTCAATGTCAAATACGTAGGTTTGTCATCAAAAGGGTTTCTATATCAAAAAATATTAATCATCTCTTATCTATTAGACAAGTCCGTCCGTCTGTGGTGCTGTTTCAGCGGCCAAACCGTAAGAGATAGATAAAGAGAATATTTAAGTTATAAGTTAAGAATAGTCTGATAAGACTACAAACCGGATTTGAGTAACGTAGCACTTCCGGTTTTCGAGAAATCAGATTTTGGTGAACATTTGGTTCACTGGTTTGCTAGTTAAATAACTTCTTTCCACGATTCACTAAAAATAAGGCAAAAGTAGTTTTATGTAGCAAATAATTTTGGCTTTATTTTGAGACCAAATTCTTGTAAATCTTGTAATAATCAAAAGTATCTTGTATACAGTGTTTTAGCATTTTTTCTATGAAAAGTGCCTGTTCAACTTAAAATTATTGATAGATAATGTCTTATTTATATCACGAATTCCATGTTGCTAGAAAACATTAAACATGATCTCGTTCTAGGACAGGATTTCTTGTTACGAAATGATGCTTTCGCAGGAAACAATTAATAATGGAGCGTATCAAGTTTAAATTCAAGAAACCATATATCCAAATATATTATGAAACTCACAACGACAATTCTTTAAATAATGAGTATTTGCATTATATTGAACAGACTAAGTGGAATAATGATAGTTATGGTAATATGTGTACTAATGAGATTTTATTTCAGTTTATTGTTTATACTACTAAGTTGGAATATTGAGTTTTTATCAAAACTATGGCCGCCTTGTTCAAACATCGTAAAAACTGTTCGCCGAGACAAAAACAGTCTTCACTTTAGACTTTATATTTGCTTAGATGGCAGCACTTGCGTGTTCCATCTGCCTTTTGTTCTGTAATTTGAGTTCGATAGTATCTTAGCACTAGAACTGACAAAATAAATGTGAACTCGTCGAATAAACTCAACCTTAAAACCATTAGCGGAAAATCGAAAATATCTGAGCACTTTAACATAAAAAAAATCTTGATCGTTGACTAATAACAAGCAGAAGGTCAACAATATCTTAGAACATGAATAGACAAAAGAAATGCGAACAGCACACTTTTACAGTGTCTCTTTCGACTAATTACGACCTTAAAACAACTTGCGGAAAGTCGAAAATAACTTAGCACTGTAACAGACAAAAATACTTGATCGTCGACTAAACGACCTCAAAACAAAGATGGTCAACAATATCTTAGCAAATGAATAGACGAAATAAATGTACACAGCACACTTTTACATTTAATCTTTCAACTAAGTACGACCTTAAAACATAAGGCATAAGGTTGACAATATCTTAGCACTTTACAGAGAAAATAAATGTGAACACAGCACTATTATAGTTGATCTTTGACTAAATACGACTTTAAAGCAATAAATAGAAGGTTGACAATATCTCAGCATTTCAAAAGGAAAAGAAAATGTGAACATATTCCCCCTTATTAATAATTAATGAAGAATAAGCTCTGATTAGTTACTTACTCCATGTTTTGTTTCTGTTCATTGAATCGTATCTCTTATCTATTAGACAAGTCCGTTCGTCCGTCTGTCTGTGGTGCTGTTTCAGCGGCCAAACCGTAAGAGATAGATAAAGAGAATGTTTCAGTTATAAGTTAAGAACAGTCTGATAAGACTACAAACCGGATTTGAGTAACGTAGCACTTCCGGTTTTCGAGAAATCACGAATTTCAAACGAAACCACACAAAATCTCCGAAGTTCTCAATTAATTAAATACATTTTTTTTTTAAATCAGGTTTTGGTGAACATTTGGTTCACTGGTTTGCTAGTTAGTAAATAATCGTACATCAGGATCTCCTATGTAATTAATTGTTAATTTTAGGTATTGGCTGTTAGTGGTGATTAAGGGTTTTTTCTTAACGTGTTATTTATCTTGAAAATTACATACCTACTGTAGTAAGAGGCTTTGTTTATAGTTTCATAGCTGTTTATTTCTTGTACAAATGGTTTTGTATCAATTGATCTAGGGGGAGCGAGAATTTCCACTACAAGTATTTATAATACTTACCGGGAATTCTGTTCCGAAAGCTGTATTTGTTTTTTCAGAAATAAACGTTATTATTATTATTGAATGACAGATGGCATTTGAGTGGTATTAACAAAACACGGCGTAACTAGTCTTAGCTTATTCCTCGTTTCTTTATAAGGGAGATACTGAATGTTCCGACTAATACGACCTTAAATCAACTAGCAAAAGGTCGAGAATCTTTCGAATGTAATTATGGGGACAACTTTATTATGAGAACTCGGCAACTTCCTATACAGGTGTTACAAAAATACAAATAAAGCTTGAAGGGCGTTTAAGTACATTATTTATGGAGTCTTCTCTAATTTTCTTAAAATATTTGTATGAAGTGTTAACTTTTTATGAAAACAGTTTTTTTGACGTGTCTTAAATAACTGTTTTTTAAAAGTTAACCTCTAATGCAAAAAAAAAAAAAAAATTAGAGAATACTTCTTATATGACGTACTTCAACACCCTTCGAGCTTTGTTTTGTATTTTTGTAACACCCTGTATATTAAATAAGATAATTTATGATATTTCTTTATTTCATTTTCTTATTACAAGATTGTTTTGATTAAATATCGTGTTTTTTGGCAAATAAAAGTTTCCGAGTTCTTCAATTCCTTTTATGTTATTTTGTAGAAACACATTATGAAAGATCAAAGCGATGATTATTGAGCTCTCCGAAAAACGGCTACGAGATATTTTTTTTCTTTATATGCGGTCTTTTTTGTCATTAATATGATAATAGCAGACAATAATTCTAAATAAGTGTAAGATATTTCGGCATTTCGCTTGGCTATTTGTGTTTGCTATTTGTAAACTGACAACACAGTCTGTCCTTATCATACCTTAAAAAGGGCGACAAGGACCTTTCAACGAGTTTTCAAATAGCAAACAGTAGCAGTTTATAACTGCTGTACCAGCTATCTTCGCGTTTGGACTTTATTACCACTTAACATCAGGTGGGGTAGAGTCCTTTGCCTACCTTAATATATAAAAAAAAACACAAATAGCCAAGTGTAGTGCCAGTATTAGTTACAGCGCAAGCAAATACCGACACAGTATTTTTTTTCATCGCTTTTATATTTCATAGTACTAGAGAAAGTTGTTTGATTAATATTCTGGAGCAATATTAGTTTATTCAAATGACTCCTTTTCAAACTTCTATTTTGAATCATCAACAAATTATATTTAATTTAAAAACAAATCTAATTTGTATGGTATTCAAATATACATTTTAGTATAGTTAGCTACTTTTAAATCTTTATTGTTCAACGATATAAACATTGTTGCCCCAAAGTTTGATTGATTAGGTAATTTGAATACTACATTACAATGACTGAACAATTATCTTTTTTGTTATTATTTTTTTCAACTTTTTTTACTTTTAATATTTTGCCAATGTTCTCCTCTTTTGTATTTTAAAGATAATATTAATTTGTAAAAGATTTTTCTCATCATCAAACTTGATTTTATTACTATGAATCTATTCTATTAAAACTTTTATATAAAGCGGATCAAATCTTTAAGGGTAACTTAGTATTCGTACTGCACTTAAAATCGCACTTTTCTAGTTGATAATGGTGTCGATTCTGGCGTGATTCTCTAAACTTAAAACTAAATTTAACATCAGTATCTCCTTTTTATTCCGTATAGAGAATGAAAATTTAGAGAATAATGCCAGAATCGACATCACTGTCTGTTATTGGATAATAAGTGTTAATATCTGTACTGTTTTAAATAAATCTATACTTATTAAAGTACAACTTTTATATGTAGACAACATGAAGCACTATATTATTATTAATTTATTGTCGTGATATGGAAACTTAAACATTCCGGAAACTCAGAATCTGATTTGTACTATTAATAGGGGTTGTGAAAACGGGCTAGATATATTTTTAATTGTATCTGTAAAGCAAGTTCAAGTTGTTTTTAAACTGTTTTATTTCATTAGAATTAATGGCAACACTAATA